ACCCTTGCGCGTATCGCACTCACGGTCCTCGACAACTTCGACCAAGATCTTCACTTCAACCCCAGTTATGTCGATCCCGGCGACCACATACTCGGCGCCCTTCTCTTCAACATAGCCCGGTGAATCGATCGTACACATGGACTCCTCACACTTCTCTTTGATCACTTTGTACGTCTCCTCGCGTGATTCTCAGAGCTTCTCTTTGGCCTTCGCTTGTTGCCTCTCCTCAAACTCCTTTCGCTCGTTAAGCTCCTCCAAAAACTCTTGCTCCCATGGAGTCAAACTCCTCTCCAAACCTTCGAGATAAGCGAGATCTTCCAGATCCAACTCATCCAATGGTTCGAATCTCATGTCTCTCATTTTTTTTATTTTTTTTAAGACTCTAAAAAAATCGAAAAAGAAGAAGAATTCAAACAAAATTCGAATCTAGGGGAAGAAAAAATAACAAAAGACTAGATGACACTCTTTTTTTTTTTTTGACTCTCGAATTTTTTCGAAAATTAAAGATAAAATTCGAAAAAAAATTCGAACAAAAAGACTCAAGAAAAATCGAACCAAAGAAAAAGAATGGGATAGGAAAAGTTCACGAACACCCAATAAATCACTCTCATTGAAAGCACCAATGATGACGGATCGGGTGTTGCGTTCACTCGTCTTGTCTCGATCACGACTTCGCCACGGCCTTGCTCTCGACGATAGGTGTGATCGACTCGGTTATTAGCCTAACTCTCTCACGATACTTGAGTTCACTCGGGTATTAGCCTCGCTACACTCTCGAAATAGATCGGGTCTTAGCCTCTCTAAATCGTTGAACTGGCTCGGGTCTTAGCCTCACCAATTCGATTGCATGATCGAATCTCACGACTCTCAACACACGGTTTCGAACAAACGTTCTTTTCTATTTCATCATTCTTGGACCTCTAAAAACAATGAGGGATGCTCCCTATTTATAGATCCTAACTATGACTAATCCTAATCTACCTAGGAAACATATTAAAGCAATAAAATATTAAATTCCTAAACATTCTAGATACTATTGTGCAAGAAGGAAACTAAATATCTAAAGTCCTAAATTGACTAGATCTTGATTTTGCTTGTCTTGCACTCCAAACAATTCAATCCACATGTCCCAAGTACTCGGCCGCCTTTATGCGTCGCGCGCCTGTGATACGGAAGTGGCTTGGGAGTCCGGCGAGTCTAGTAAGGAGCGAAAAGGCAAAAGGTGCGCATCGACACTTGATGCGCACGAGTGGGCGGACAGGCCGCGCACGCGGGTTCGGCTGGGAGAACGCGGCCACAAGATGGACGGGTGCGCGGGTGTACGCGGGGGCGCCGTAGGTGATACGGGCCTGGGCTGTGGCTGGGACACGCGCAAGTGGGCAGGAGGACGCGAGGTTAGCGCGGTAGGATCGGGCGTGCGTAACACATGCGTGGGTGGTGAGGACGCGCAAAGCAAGGGTAGCGGCAGCGAGGCGCGCGGCGAGCGCGCGAGTGTGGTTAACGCGGGCGCATGCCTATGCGCGGTAGGCATAGGCGATGGGCGTTGGGCGTACGCGCAAAGGAGAGGCGGAGGAGGCTGAGCGCGCGCACAGGCGCGCGCGTGCGATACGGGCACGCGATGCCTAAGCAGCGAAGGATTAGGAGACCGAGGGGCGTCGCACGGATGACGCGTGCGACGCGATACGCGAGAGGCGGCCGAGAGATGGACGTGCGTAGGGTTTAGTATTAGGGAGCATTCTAGAATTGCTTGGAGTGCAAGCCAAGCAATAGTTATTTGGTAGGTTTAGGATTTTATTGCTTTCTAGACTTAGGATTTAATATTTAATTGTTTTATTAGTTTCCTAGTAAGATTAGCATTAGAGATAGTTGGTATCTATAAATACCCATGTACCCCATCATATTTTATAAGTCTTGAATTGAGTATTGAATTGGTGAGCCAATTTCGAGGGGGAACCTTGTGTTCTTAACGTGTGATAAAGAAGGCCATTAGTGCGTCTTTACATGCAGTGTCGGAGAGAAGGCCGTTAGTGCGTCTTGAAGTCACGGTGTCTAGGAGAAGGCCGCAGTGCGTCTGCTAGATACATCTATCGGGAATAAACCAAGGCCTCAGTGCGTTGTTTATTCGCAACCCAGTATAGACAAAAGATCGATCCGTCATCATTGGTGCTTTCATTGAGAGGTGCTGATCGAGATTTTGTCTATCTTATCTTTATTTTTTTTCGGTTTTTCCTTTTGGTGAGGGAACCGAATTTCTCTTCTTTTTTGAGTCGAAATTTTCGAATTTTTTCGAAATTTCATTAAAAAAAAAAAGTGTCAACTTGTTAGTCCTTTGTTATTTTTTTTCGGCTATTACCTTTTGTTGAGGGGCCGAATTTCTCTTTGTTTCGATTTTTTTTGAGTCTTTGTTGGGGGTTCGAATTTTTCGGATTTTTTCCCATTTATTTTTCGATTTTTTAGAGTCAAAAAAAAAAAAAAAGGGGTTATGATGTCGAACCGTGAAAGAATTCAAGCCTTGGAGGATAACATGAAGATCATCGGCGATGGTCAACATGCTACCAACGAGAACTTGGGAAGGATCGAACTCATGGTCCAGGACTTGGCCGGGCAACTAACACGCATGAACGTGCGGCCAAGAAGAAGGCACGGGTCACGGTCCACGGCAGTGAGTACCGGGACCGAGCGCGAGGATGATCGCCGATCGCGGGGCACACACGCATCAAACGCGAGCTACCAACGCGACGACCGGTGACGGCATGGTGAACGCGCACATCACGACCGTAGGCGCGAAGAAGAGGACGACCGGCAGTCGTACGCATCGTACGCATCGCGGGCTTCACACGATGAGCGTCGGGCACGACGCGATGACCGAGAGCACTACCACGAGGGCCGACGATGCCACGAACGACGGGACGAGGGACGTGCCCGATACCACGAACGCGATGATCCACGGGACGATGGGGCGAGCACACGGCCAAAAATTGTGATGCCCACGTTCACGGGAACAGATCCGGACGCATGGTTGAGTCGGGCTGTGCAATTTTTTGAGATCAATGATGTGCCAAGGTACGAACGAGTTCAAATTGCTGCCTATCACCTTGATGGGGAAGCAAACGTTTGGTGGCAGTGGATGATGCACAAAAACCATGGCGAGTACATACGATGGAGAGATTTCGAAAAAGAGCTCATCACGAGGTTTGGCTCGAGTGACTACCATGACTACAACGAGGCGTTGTCAAGGATCAAACAAGTGGGTAGTCTGAGAGATTATCAAAGAGAGTTCGAGCGAATCGCTAGTAGGGTACGAGATTGGCCCGAGGCTGCGTTGGTAGGAACGTTTGTTGGGGGACTAAAGGCTGAGCTGGCAGCCGAGATAAGATTGGACAGGCCAGGTTCGATGCGAGCGGCTATAGAGTCGGCCAGGCTGCACGAAGATCATCTCGTGGCAGTACGCAAGGCCAAACCAAGTGACGTACGCACGGAGACTAAGCGCGCACACGTCGCGACCGAGGAACAGCCAACGCGAACCGAAAGCAAACCGATGGGAGAAATTGTTTGAACGACGAGCAACATACGACGGCTTACCGACGAGGAGATGCAACGACGGCGAGAAAAGGGGCTTTGTTATTCGTGCAACGAAAAATTCACGCCAGGACACAGGTGCAAGGGTAAGGAGGTCTTTTTGTTGGAATTTGAGGAAGAAGAACCAAGAGAGGAGTCCTTATTACACATGGTTAAGAGTAAGAAGCGTGGTCCGAAGATGATCACATTCACGGCTGAAGTGGGAGGAAAATTGGCGGAGGTGTTGGTCGACAGCGGATCTACGCTAAACTTCATTGATGAGGAGTTGTCCAAGGAAATCGAGATTCCATTCACCAAAGTGAAACCCTTTGGAGTCAAGGTTGCAAACGGGGAAACACTACGAGGAGATATTCTATTCAAAGGTGTAAAGTTGAAGGCTCAAGGCCAAAGGATGAGAGTGGACCTCTATGCATTGCCGTTGAAGGCAGCTGATGTAGTGCTTGGATGCCAGTGGTTGGAGACTCTTGGTCCAATCACAACTGATTATTGGAAAGGAACTATGGAGTTCGGGAGATCAAGCAAGAGGGTTAAGTTGAGGACTGAGGATCTAGGAGGGTCACTTGATGAAGATAGTAGGGAGGGTCAAGATGGAAAGCTGAATTTTCTAATCCTTGGGGACAAGGAAAGACTTGAAGAGGAGGGGAATGATACGGAAGTGGCTTGGGAGTCCGGCGAGTCTAGTAAGGAGCGAAAAGGCAAAAGGTGCGCATCGGCACTTGATGCGCACGAGTGGGCGGACAGGCCGCGCACGCGGGTTCGGCGGGGAGAACGCGGCCGCAAGATGGACGGGTGCGCGGGTGTACGCGGGGGCACCGTAGGCGATACGGGCCTGGGCTGTGGCTGGGACACGCGCAAGTGGGCAGGAGGACGCGAGGTTAGCGCGGTAGGATCGGGCGTGCGTAACACATGCGTGGGTGGTGAGGACGCGCGAAGCAAGGGTAGCGGCAGCGAGGCGCGCGGCGAGCGCGCGAGTGTGGTTAACGCGGGCGCATGCCTATGCGCAGTAGGCATAGGCGATGGGCGTTGGGCGTACGCACAAAGGAGAGGCGGCGAAGGCTGGGCGCGCGCACAGGCGCGCGCGTGCGATACGGGCACGCGATGCCTAAGCAGCGAAGGATTAGGAGACCGAGGGGCATCGCACGGATGACGCGTGCGACGCGATACGCGAGAGGCGGCCGAGAGATGGACGTGCGTAGGGTTTAGTATTAGGGAGCATTCTAGAATTGCTTGGAGTGCAAGCCAAGCAATAGTTATTTGGTAGGTTTAGGATTTTATTGCTTTCTAGACTTAGGATTTAATATTTAATTGTTTTATTAGTTTCCTAGTAAGATTAGCATTAGAGATAGTTGGTATCTATAAATACCCATGTACCCCATCATATTTTATAAGTCTTGAATTGAGTATTGAATTGGTGAGCCAATTTTGAGGGGGAACCTTGTGTTCTTAACGTGTGATAAAGAAGGCCATTAGTGCGTCTTTACATGCAGTGTCGGAGAGAAGGCCGTTAGTGCGTCTTGAAGTCACGGTGTCTAGGAGAAGGCCGCAGTGCGTCTTCTAGATACATCTATCGGGAATAAACGAAGGCCTCAGTGCGTCGTTTATTCGCAACCCAGTTTAGACAAAAGATCGATTCGTCATCACGCGCGCTGGCGCGTTGCTGCGGTGACGGTGGGCGTTACCGAGTCGCAGGCGTGCACTAGGCGACGCTGCGTGCGACTACTGAACGCGCGTTGCTGCGCGCTGTCGTGTGTTACTACACGCTGACATGCATGACGGGGTGTTGGCGTGCGCACGCGCATCGCCAACGGCTATCTGCTGCGGGTAACAGCCTTACACGGCGCTCTACCGCGCAGTACCTGCACCATGCACACTTGTCAGTACGCTGCTACCGCGATATGCGGGCAGCGCATGTACAACCAACACTTGTCGGCCGTCCGGCGTTTCTTTCCGACAACTTCAACATAAAACAACATCACCTGACTTAACATGGCCGATATACTGAATTAACATGAAAAATGCTGAACTTGTTCAACGGACCAAACACATGGCCGTAGTGCCCTCGCTATGTGCGAGGCTTACGGCTTATGGCCAATTCCTCATCAAACATGAAAACTTCTCGAACAACGTGAGCCAACTGAACATAAAATGACCTAACTTGATCATTTAAACATCAATTGTTCGAATAAACTTGACAATAACAAAAGATAACACGGTGCGGCCGTGACGCGCACACCACGTGCGGTCCTTGGCTTTAAGCCAAATTCTCGACCGAACCTCTATTTTACTCAACAAATCCCATTTGACTGAACATGATACACTTAATGATGGCTGACGAAACAATAAACGTTCGGGAATTGCCGGAATAAAATAGAAGTAACTCGGTCTTGTCTTAAATATGACCTAACTGAATATAGCATGAATTTCCTCACAGTTTCTGAATATAACTCGAACTCTTAACCTTATTATGGCCTTACTAACATGATTATAAGATGAGGATAACTATACCTTCTTAGATGCTCGTCGGAATCACAACCGGACTATGCCTCGCGTGCGTGTCCTTGTGTGCGGAAGTTGCCGGGCAATGCTATGCTATAGAAAATTAGGGAATTTGCTGGTTTCCTTGGCTGAACTTAGAGACTAATATATATATATGGTGCTGATGAATATAAGCTGCTAAGGGTGGGAAAAATTTTCCAAATTCGGAGGCTATATATAAAGAGGGCCGAGAGAAATGTTGGTGATGTGGGTAGGATGTGGCCCTTCCTAAGCTTAACATTTGGAAGCTAATTGAAAGGCTTGGGGATGACTAATCCTCTTCAAACTCCCTCATAATGCCACGTGTGAAGTTAAAGAGTTGGAAGAAATTAGTTCCTTAAGACTTAGGAAAATACTTACCAAATGAGAAATTAAGATAGCATACCGTACGGCCTTTTCCAAGCATTAAGAGTAACTTGGACGGCTTAAGGCTTAATTTGATGATTAATTGTTAATTAATCATTTTCTTATGTTTAATTATTGAATTAAACATAATGCTTAATTACCAAAATTATTCCGAACGTAAACGGTACGTCGAAAATAATTTTCGGTAATCTCGACTGAAATAAATTAATTCCGAAAATAATAATCGATAACATTATTATCGGAACTAAAACATAATTTATGCTGATAAAATTTCGGGATATTACAAGAACAATTTTCCCGAAAGGGATCGAGCATTGGCGTCACCGCCAGGAACAATCCTAACTCGGCGGTCAACGCCGAACAATAGAATAGTTAAACTACACTAAAAAAAGCTACAAGTTTCAAGAAGAGTATTTTTAAGAATAATCACGTTAAAGGCCCCATTTCAGAACATACATTTCAGTCATATACACTGTCACTATTTCAAAAATTCTGGGCATAACCCCATCTTTGAACATTCATATAAAATCAACCAGAACCCCAACTAAAATGATTTCTACTCCCAAAGAAAGCTTATAACATGTAATACAAGTTTCATGTTGATCAAATTTTCAGATAGTCACATTTAAATTGTCAAAAATAGCCCAACATGATTTTTAACACAAATTCATATGAACTCATACGACCATCACATAACATATTTTAAAGAATCTCAGTCGTGCAATAATCGTCAAGTTCAATCATATAAGCATGCTTTTCAAAACATAAACTTTGACATCTCGAGTCTTATAGAGCATCAACATCAGGCTTAACTACAAATTCATACCTTTTACAACTGTGCGCCTCACAGCCAACTCACAAGATATTCACGCGATGTCGGAGCAATCCACTCGTCCTATGGACGATGTCGTCGTCTTTCATCCATGCATCAGTCTTCAGGACATACGCTCGATCTAACGTACGAGAATTATCAACCATTGTCCCTCTCGAGGCTTAGCCACTCCCAAGAGTTACGACGGTGACACACATTAGATTGTCCTAACTATGGGGGTCGATTAGTAACCAATTCGCGGCATATAAATGACACTCCCGGTCTTCGACGACTAGGGTTCTAATTTCCCGAGTGATCTCATACACTAGAGGTTCACTCGGTACTTAACCTTTCTCTTTCGAGATGGGTCACGAATGGTCCTACTCTAAGGACACTGAACGAATTTTATAGCGAGAACTGCTATAAACAACACTTATCTCAATAATAATATACTGAAACTCACAACTAGGAATCTCTAGAATCCGAACTTAACTCTATATCACTAGAGTTCAATGTCAAACACTAGAGTTCACATAACCTGAGGTGGATAGATTTCCTAAGCCCCAAAACAACATATATATCACTTCATGAGTAGTCTCATTGCTACTCATGCAAAACCTCATAAGTAGTTTCATTGCTACTCATGTAAAACATCACAAGTAGTTTCATTGCTACTCGTCCAAAACATCTCAAGTAGTTTCATTGCTACTCGTGCAAAACATCACAAGTAGTTTCATTGCTACTCGTGCAAAACATCACAAGTAGTTTCATTGCTACTCGTGCAAATCCACAATTCACATTATGAGTATTTTCATTGATACTTATATAAAACATACCTTAAGCAGCGCGGAGTGACGGAGACGAGTGGTCATATTACAAGGTCTAGACACATAATCACACATAAACCAGTCTACAGAAACGCAGACTGGCTCTGATACCAAACTGTAACACCCCACTTTGATTTTTACAGAAATTCCGGACTCTCCAAAAATCAGTATAAAATTTTCGAGATCATTTTTGAAATTCAATGGGTGTTAAATAACATTTTTCATAACCCAAGTCTTATATGGGCCCACGGGGATTCATTACCCGATTTTCACAAATGGTTTTTATTAACCAAAACACATCACGAGACATAATTCTCAACATGAATATTTAAACCAAGACATCGTACCCAACATCAAGGGTTCCACAAGTTTCCCAAAAATAAAACAAGTCATACGTTTTGTAAAATGGTTTAAACAAGTCTCCACATAAAGGTCCAATAAAGCCTTATTTATTCTACGGAAGTATAAAATGCATAATTAAATGATCGACCCACTCGCCTCTTCTGGTCACCCTGGTCCTGCTTAACCTGCATCGGTGAAGAGCAGGTGGGGATGAGCACAAGATGAAAAACGTGCTCACCACTATGCATATATATCACAAACATAAATAATGTAGAGAAGGTATGGTTACAGTATGAACATACATCAATTATTCTGTCACATCTCCTAATCACATCACAACATAATACCCACGTGTACACATCTTTCATTAGCCAAGGAAAAGGGATTCATTACCCTAACTCATGGGGGTACGTCTCACACAACAAGACACGGCCTTTCATTAGGTCTTACGGAGACTTACCTCGCAAGGTAACCGTATTACATCGACGGAACAGCTGTACCGACGGCCGGATCGGATCACGCCGATAGGCTACATGGTTTACATACATACTAAAATCATACCAAGTCAACATTATAATAAAGACATACGGCATAGCAAATTTTAGATTAAAACCCACCTTGATTCTGGATTGATAACAGCACGAATAGAAAAGACGTAGGTTGAGGTTTGACTCCTCAATCACCTACATTAAGTCAAGATCCTACAATCAACGTTTATCTTGACTTAAATGGAAAACACAAATCATACTTAGTCGAACTTGATTCGACTAAGTTGTTCGTGAAGTCCTGTGGATATTGGAACACTTAGACTCGACACTACACTCAACCAAAACATACATGGAAGTCTACATAATCAAACTAACGATGACCAAGTCAAACAACAAGAAACGAAAAAATAGCCAATTTACAGTTTTTAACTCCAAAAATCATATTTCTAATTTATTAGCCAAAACACAAAACTAAGTTGATCTAGTTGCCCTATGAGTTGGACTCTGAAATTTTAATCCAAAAAAAAAATACGCCTCCTATTACTTAGAAAAACCACCAAGTTTCAGCCTCAAATTCAAAGTACATGATTTTATAAAATTCAAATACGGTATCAGCAAAAACGAGCATAAAATTCAAAGTCCGACCTACCGAACGAATTAGCACATGATATTTTTACTGGGGCAAGTTCAGCAATTAAGGACCAACATATAAAAATTCCAGCAATTAACATAAAATACAAAAAATATGAAAATTCATAAAAGATTCAGCCGTTTATCAAATTTTAATTAAAACCGAACTAATTCCACTCCAAAATTTCCAATATTTTTACAGAATGCAAGTACAAATATACTAAGCATTTCAGTCAAAAATCAGAATTTTCCATCCAATAACCAATTTATCATAATTTAAAAACTTTTCAGTAAAAATCGTAAACAAATTATTTACCCTATCAATATCAACCTATAAATTCTAAAAGTTTTATACAGCAACTAAATCAGGTAGAAAGACATCATATTAAAATTTCATTAATTTTGGAGCACTACACAATGTATTATGAATTTAACATGAATCTGACCAGAAATCACTATAATTTTTAAAACTAGCTACAAACCTCCGAAAATTCTGAAATTTATACACGAGCTATATAACTACTAGAGTCATATACAGTTAATATTTCACATCAATCGGACCAGTATACAATTTATCATGAATTAAATACGATTCAGCAGCTAGTTCAGTTTCGAAAAATCATATAGGACCCGAAACACACCCAATTCGTCCGAGGCCTTCACCATGAGACCAAAGACTCGACATAGTTTCAAAATCCACTGTCCTAACACGAATTTGATGGGACTTTGCACGATTTCACATTAATCGATAAAATCCCAACATAAACGCATAATATATAATCCAAAATAGTGAAATAATTTCAAAGCTCGAAACACATATATAAACGAGAGGGTAATCGAGCTTCGGTACCGTTCTCGGGATTAGTACGCAACGACGATCAAAACGATGGCCGATACGGGCTGTTCGGAGGCTGGGAGCACGCCCGTCGGGCTCAACGACAACGGCTCGCGGGGGTGGCGTGTAAGTAGTTTTGCGGGGCTGATCCGGCTCGCTAGGGACGCCGAAAAACAATTGCGGAGGTACCGACGGACACGGGAACTTGCTAGTGGCGCTCGACCAAAACGAGGAGGCTCGACAACTTCGATTGACTCACCGACTGAACACGATAAATGGGACACCAACAAGGGTGAAGAGAGGGCTACTTGCAGGTCTGGTCACAGGTTCGCTGGATTATGGACAGCAGCGGCGGGGCTTCGTAGTGATGCTGCAACGCTGAGGGACTCGCCGGAGACTGTAGTGACGGAAATGGCAACGGTCAGGTGTAGTGATCAATGGTTCGCGGCAGCGCTGTCTTCACACGAGCAGGGGCGAACTTCGCTAGAGGGTTAGCGGCGAAAATCAACGTGGCTCGCGGGACTCGCAGAAGGTGTTGCCGCGTGGTAGACTTCCGGTCGCGGCGGAACAACAGCGGGATGGAGGTGATGATGGCGGCGACCTGATAGTCTAACGATGGTGGGGCAGCATGATGATGATGGTGATGTTGTTGCGGCAACCTGAAGATGGCGATTAAATGATGACGTTGATGGTGATGAAGGGTGGAGGTGATGATGATGATCGAAGGTGGTCTTGATGATGAACGATGGTGTGCGGGAAGAAAAAGAAAAATTCTCACGAGGGAGAGAGAACAAAAAGCTGCGGATGTTTAATTTGCAGCTAAGGGTTGAGAAACCTTATATCTCTCTTATATCTTATATGTATAAGTTTGTGCCCTTTAAATGCTGACAAGTATCCATTTTCGTCACTTCTGCTGCTTGACACGTGTCACGTGTTCTGATTTATTTACAATTTTGACACTTCTATAATTGACTAAGTTGCCCCTTAGGGCATCTCCAATGGTTGGCTATTTGGCTAACTATTATGACGTGGGCATGGGAAAAGTAAGAGAGAGAGTAGTCACTAGCTACTAACAAATAGCTTATCTATTTCACGTAGCCCAAGATTATGTGAGAGGAGTACGTGATTCCAATAGTGTAAAATAGTTATTTTTCTTATCTCTCACATCCACGTTAGCTAACTATATAGCTAGTAATAACTATTACCATTGGAAATACCCTTAGTGTCTTTATTTTTAAGGTCAATATGGTTTTTTTTTTCTTACTCATGAAGTATTGGAAACTTCACCGACTAAACCAATCACTTCACAACATACATCTGACACAGGAAACAATCATTCGGTAAAAAAGCAATGAAATAAAAAGGCTATGATAAAAAAGTAAAAAACACGCAATTAGTCGCTTCTCTCATTTTTTCGCTTCTCCAATTTACATCTTCTCTCTTTTCTTCTTTCTTCTTTCTTCTTCTTTCTTTTTCTCCCAAAAAAATTACCCTAATTTATGCTCTTTCTTCTGTCAATCGACGGCGTGTGTACATAGATGCTAACGAGCGGTAGGCCGATCCCCAGTAGTTGACGAGCGGCGATAGATGGGCTGATGAAGGTACGTCCGTGGACGATGACAGCAGTAGCTCCGATGGAGAGAGCGCCCCAAGAGGGTCCGCTTTTGTCGCCATGGGGCTTCACAAACCTTCTTCCTTTTGCTGGAATCCCGCAGGTCAGAGGTAGACAGATTTTTTTTTTTTCTTGCTTTTAACATGATTTTCGCACACGCAAGTCAGGAGATAGAGACGGGAGCAGGTAAACACTTCGTCATCTTCATAACCCCACCCAAACAATTACTCTAATTTTCAATTCACAGAGGGAATAACTACTCAGGAAAATAGATTGGAGACCGATGCACGAAGACAAGCGGCAGCGAGAATGTCTGCTCCGGTGACCGAAGTGTGAAGAACCGCACCGAGTATTTTCCCGTGAGGCTTTTATTGAACGATTTGTTATCTTCTTTGCTGGATTTTGTTTCTAACTGTGCTCTCTCTTTCCTTTTTTTGCTTTATTTGAAACTATGGACTCTGAAACTTTTTGCCTAATGTTAAGAAATCGACGGTCCCAGAAAAGCAAACCAGGGAGATCACCCTTTTTTTTCGCGGGTAAAGCCATAATGTTCGATGATCTACCGACCAGACAGGGCCATGGAGATCATGGCGCTAGCTGGAAAGTTCGGCGCCTCTACTCCGCCTCATATGGCTCGGAGTGTCCCGTCCAGTAGCACGTCATCTGCCACCGAGTGCTCATCTCAGATTTTAATGGAAGACTGCAAAAATCTCACATTATCCCTATCTTGTTATATTACAGGGATATCTCTGATCCTGAGCACGGAAATGGTGAAAGCCCATCTTTCTTCAAAGACGCTTATCAGTGCGGCTTGAGAAACTTTTGAATATCAGATTCTGATTATAGCAACGGGTTGTACCGTTAAGTGACATGTTCATTGGAATTTGTCATAATTATATTTGAATTTTCTGACAATTATGTTTGGTTTGATTTATTTTTACCTTGTGTTGTTTATTTTTTGGGTAGTGGACCTATTTTTTATTATATGTATTGCTTTGTCCAGGTTATCAAATTGACGGACTTTGGTGTGCAAGGCGCTGATGCCAAAAACATCTTTTATTTGAGAGAAATTGATGATGCCGATAAACTTGTTGAAGCAATCAAGACAAAGAAAAATGGAAAGGCTGTGATTGTTGGTAGGGGATACATTGATCTGGAAGACTGGAACTAAGTGTTGCTTTGAGAATTAACAACATTGATGTCAGCATGGTTTACCCTGAACCTTGGTGCAGTAAGTCAACTCTACCACTTTGTTCCAGTTAACATATTCTCTTTCAGTTAGAATCTTTGAATTGTGTTATTCGAGTCTTTTGCAGTCATTTGACTTGACATAATAAATATATCAATATTTTCTTGTGCAGTGCCTAGGATATTCACTGCCGGTATAGCTGCCTTCTATGAAGGTTATTATGCAAATAAGGGAGTTGGTATCATCAAGGGCACTGTAGCCGTTGGATTCCTATGCCACTGGCGGACCAACACAACTTATTTGAACAAGAGATTTTGGGGGCAATGGCAACAGGAAATGTTTCTGGTTTCTGCTTTGTGCGCTTTTATATTTCTAGGTTTATATTACCAAACTCTCAGTTTTAGGTTGTCTGCAAGAAACTGTTGGAGCAGTTGTTTTGAGTTTCATGTGATCTAATGTTGTTGCTAATTGAAAATATCAGGTACGACGAGGAAATCGCATAGTTTCAGGTCCATTAAAGCTCTGCCATCAACCGGAGCCTCTTCCACTGGTATGGAATTACCTTTCAAATTCTTCTTCGATATCAAATTTATTCTTTAATGTTCAGCTTTTTGCTTTTCCTCAGATGATGATTAAATTTTAATTTTGATTATTTTTTAACATTTGTCCCATATCTTCAAAATCCTAGATTGCCATATCTTGGCTCGTCTTTTAGGTCCACTGACGCACCGACCCTTATCATACAGGTATGAGCAGAATATCATACCACTAAATATTTAAAAGATCATTTTTTGACCAATTTCTGATGGTTAACACCTAAGTTCTATGGTTGATTGTTAATCGTGTCGAAATAAGAATTTGGAGTACCTGGTTTCGAAAACACCATCATTTCTGTGTTTTTTTGTTTTCTTCCATGGTTGCCGATTGTTGACTCTTCACTCTCTCTCGTTTGCCATTCCTCCTAGAACTTAGTCTTGCGTTTGTGAAGTTACTCGATTGATAATCTCCGATTTTTTTTTTTTCAAAATATAGTTTCTTTTGAAATTATTCCTCCTCTCCGATAATTTATATTCCTCTTATTACAAAGTTGGTTTTTTAAGGGAAACTTGCTAGAAAGGTACCACCTTTGGTTGTAATAGAAGTGGTTTTGGGTCTATTGTGTGGTATGAAAATGAGGGTTTTTTGTAAATACAGAGACAACATAGAATGAATCTGATGCAAATCTTCCTTTTTCTATATGTATTGTGAAAGAAAAAAATGAATTTTTGTAGAATTTTGGTCTTCATACTTCTGTTGCCGGTATATTCGCCAAAGAGTAAATCAACTGGTTTTTTGAATATCTGGTGGTTCAAGGATTTTCCACCGAGAAGCAACAGCGACTGTAGGGTTCAAGATGAAACACTTCCCCTATTATAACTCGGCTTTGAGCCGCAGAATGCTGCTGAAGTAAGTATGGATATGTCTTTGTGTTTCCACCATTGATGTTGCAGATATGTCCCAGGAAAACTGCAGCTTCTTGCAGATTTTTCACTTGTTGATGAGCAGTTGTGATAATCTTTTTTCCTTTGTTTTTTCATTTATTTTGGTTCAAATAGTGTCAACTGACAAAAATAAACAAACGACATTGTGTTGCTTTTAGGTGCTCTAGCTAAACATTATCTCATTTTTGTCGTTTCGAGGTGTATTCTGGAAGGCTACTAGAAGAGGCACCCTTGCATGCAGTTAAATAGCTGAACTAGTTAATTTTTTCATTATATATTTCACCAAACTTTATCTGTTACAAATCTTTAAAACATATCATGTGTTCTTACTGATGTTTGTCAGCTTCTTTGATCTTTTTTAATAAGTTTTTAGAAGATATTGAGATTGACTGACGATTAACTTGCCCGCAATGCTTTGTGTAACAGGATAAAGACTAGGTCCTTGAGCAGCTATCGGGTGTTTTGCGATGGGGGTTTCAAGTAATCTTCTTTCGCATAGGACTACAAACAATTGTAGGTTCGTTTACAAACTACGCACACTATCATGAAGTTGAAAGCTAATTCGAAGATATAATTATGGTGCAGTTGCACTGAGCTTCTGTAATTCTATTTTCGTCCCATGGACTTTTCCTTACCGGAGTTTGGCTATACCTTGCCTCCAAAGAGCTATTCAACTTAATTGACTCTGTATCAATGTAAAGTTTGCTCATTGGACCTGGTTCGTTATGTCACATTTTGTAAAAGAAATGAGTTTCTAAATCCGTAGAGAATTACTTCCTTCGAATTGAAAAAAATACAAAGCAATAGCTACTTACTATTCCCTGCTTATTTCGTAGATTTGGTAGAATACGGGCCAGATAAGTTTACGTTTATTAAGGATTAGATTTTTCAAAAACTTAATGATCATGATTGTTTAGGGACACGTTTATAGGATGTTTTTAGCACCGTCAATGACTTGACAACTGCAAAATTGATCGAAGTAGAAAATATTATTATTGCACATTTTTCTTGCTGACTGAATATTTTATCTTTATTTGAAGCTGTCAAATTTTCTGATGTTTTTACAAATAAAACATTTTCTACTCGTGTAGAGTTATTCTGACCCTTAAATTTATTTCCCAGTTTTAACATGAAATTTAAAGATGGCTGGCGATCGGTTGTACCTATTCACACACGAGGCGAATCTCCCAGTGGATTATATGTTTTTCCGAAAGTTAAGTCGGCAGATCACAGCCCCGGGACAGGTGGCGAATCTGGCTCGGGATTTTGTGTTTTTCCCTTTGTCATGTTATTTTGTATACCTGTTGATTATATTTTACTATTAACCCCTTTGTTGTGGTGATTTGATCATCGACTGATATACACAGGGACCTGCTCTGGTTTTTCTTTTTGTGTAGACTGGAATTGTGTCAGAATTTATACTCTTCTTTGATTGTCCAGAGGAGGAAATGGAGAGGCATCTGTTGAGTAGGAACCATGTGAATTGCATTAAATATAATCCACCTTCGCTTTCCTCTCGTTCTTCGTCTGGTTTTGGTATATATATATATATATATCCTTATTAATTCCTGTTATTAATTTATTGTGTGCATGTCTTTGTTTTCATGACATTTAATTTTCCTTTATCATTTTTCTTGTTTTGAATTTTCAATTTAGATAAATGCTGCAAACCCAGTTGAAGAAGTGTTTGAGGCTGTACAAGCAGTGTTTGGGCGAGTTATACAATTTAAATAAGAAATCGCAAACATTTTTTCGGTTAGCAAAAGAACACAGATGTTCATATATATTGTTTGTGTCAAAAGTGTTGAGGTGTTATGGTTTTATGGTGTTGTCTGACATAAGATGTTCAGTTTTTCACTTCGGCTTTTCAAATAAATAAATAAAAAATGAACTTTTCAAGATTGGTTCGCAAAAAAAAAAANAAAAAAAAAAAAAAAAAAAAAAAATTCATGCTTTCTGCAACTCTGAAACCATTTTTCTCTGAACTGATAGGCAGCTGCATGGATTATCCATCCCTTATTTGTTTGTCTTTTGGTTATTTAATAGGTTAATATGTTTACTTTTTAAAGCAAAATTTGACATATATTGCTTGTGTTCAAAGTACTAAAGTTTTATGCTAAATCTCATGGTTTATGTAGATCTGAAATTATTTACTCTGAAGTGATACCCACCTTCATAGATTATCTTCCAGTTGTTTGTTTGTCTTTGAGTATTTGGTAGGTTAACGTGTTTACCTTTTAAGGCAAAAGTGGACATATGTTGCTTGTGTACAAAGTACTGAAATTTTATGCTTGTGTAGTGTTCTGCTACTTGAGAATATCATCAAAGTGTACTTATTTGTTAATGTTTTTTGGCGGCTGCTTCTCCGTAGATTTATTTTATGCATGCAACTAGAGGTGGCCAGGTGCCGGGCCGCGGCCCGGCCCGGCCCGCCGGGTCGGCGGGCCTCAATATTGTGGCCCGTAACCGGCCCGAAGAAACATACGGGCCGGTTCATAGAACCGGCCCGGAACCGCCGGTTCAACAGCCCGGCGGGTCTCGGATGGTTCCGGGCCGGTACGGCCCTTAAAAATCCACAAAAAAGCAATGCGACCCGGCGCGGCCCGGCCCGGCCCGTCGGGACAAAAGAAAAAACCCGTGACCCTTAACCGGACCGGATTGGCCGCGGTCCGGTTCTAAAAACCGGCACTATTCATGCCGGTACCGGTACCGGGTCGGGCCGGGCCGGTACCGGGTCACGGGTCGGGCCACGGGCCGGGTTGGCCCGTGGCCATGTCTACATGCAACATAATAATATAATCTCTATTTTTCTCTTTTCACTAATAGTAGTTTCATCTGCCGTGATTTTCAGTGTATTTTTTAGACCGGATTTTAGTCCGCCGTGCGTGCACGGCGAAAGACTACTAGTATATATATATACACATGAATTATGTTAATTACTATTACTTAAAGCCACAAGATAATTACACACACAACGCACAAGGGGAGGAAACCGGGTCGGTTGGCCGGGACTCGGCTCACGAGTGGACCGGGTTCGGTTGTTTGGGCCGGGTTCAACACTTAGAATAAGTTCTCGGGCTCGGATTAATCGCGCGACAATTAAAATATTAACCGAATAAAATATCTACATGCATTTGTAATACACATTTAATCACAAAATAACAATTAACATTTATTTACATATTAATAGGCAATTAATCAATTAGGCATTTAACAATAATAAAAAAATAATAATATTAATAGTAATAATAATAAAAAAAAATAATAATAATAATAATAATAATAATAATAATAATAATAATAATATATCAATAAAAAAATCCCAAATAACTCTTATTCAAACGGTGTGTTACACCTCCTCATCAAAGATAGGAATATCTGATTGGAACAAATGCTGAAAATAGTCAGATATAACCTCTACAATATCTTCCTTATTCTTGCAGATATCTCTATGGTTTTTAAGCAGGTTAATAAGAGACTTACTCCTTCATCTTCGCTTGACACATGCTTGAAAGAATCTTGTATTTATGTCCCTTTCCTTAAGCCACCTTTGTCTAGATTTGGTTTTCCAATAACACTCCTCATCCAAGTAAGCTTGGTGTATCTTTTACTTGCAACTTTTAATGATCTTAGAAGAACTAGTGTGTTGAGTAGCTAACCAACCCAACAAACTCAATTTGAAATGCCTAAGCCTCTGCTGAAAACTATATAATCCTCTGCCCTTCACTATTTTTCCTGGCTTGGCTAGGTGGGATAGCCGAGCCATTCCCCTTTCTTTATAATACCAATCTGAGATAATTCAATAGAATTTCTCATTTTGATTCTGTCTTTTTTTTCCTTTCTGGGATTTCTTTTCCATTTCATTATTGAACATGAGTTCTACTCGGGCCTCAGTTTACGACCAGACCTTGGGAGACTGCTTAAGCCCAAGATAGTTTAAAGCTTTCTTTTGACTAAGCCTCTGCACTTAATTACATCGACCCAATGAACGAAGTGAGGCGCAGTGAAGTCAAATTCCAACACTGAAGGAATTCTCCAATTAGGACTTTGTCGGGTAGTCTCCGATCGGGTGAAGGAATGCTAGTGCGCAAGCTCTTCTCAAAGAAGAAAGGCTCGATATAACTGACCTGTAGCTCTCTTTTGTCCATTTTGCATAGCCCTTTAATGCTTCTTTGTAGCATATTACATATCCTTAGATTTTTCTGAAAGGTAACTATCTCCATTTCATATATTATATAGAATTTTTGAAAAAGACTTTCCTCCCTAAAAAAGAAAAGACTTACAATCATTTGGATCTGATCCTACACCGCTGCTGAAGACTTTAGTGGATCTACTCTATTACATAAGTGGATTCCTAAATTTTATCTCTCATTATGAGATATGAATAAAAAATCTTTCCCGCGGAAGAAGAGAAAGAATGGCAGAAGGCAGAATCCCAGCTTGAAGCAACAGAGGGGGTTAGCAAGCCAGTGTATTATGAAAGCGGAAGGATACTTGAGTGGAAGTCTTGGGGCTCTATTTCTAGGCAGATAAGGTTGTTCCGAAAGCTAAAACTCGTAGAAATAATAAGGGCTAGGAGTTATAGCTTTTCAATCTCTGCCTTTTGGAAGTAAGCATACGAGAATTCGATTGTTCGTCGTCATAGGAAATAAACGAGAAAATCGAATTTCTTTCTTCGTCTTTCCAAAAAAATAAAAATAAAGGTGTTATCCTCGATATTGAGAAAGACTAAAATAGCCGTAATTTGATTCGCGATCAAGTCCTCAATATCTTGATATAAAAAAGGTTTATGTCTGCCAACCCCCAAGCTTTTAACCTTAAGAGACCACCCTAACAAAATACCACCTTTTCTACCCTGAGAAGGCATATATTCCCAATTACTAATAACAGGTAAGTTTTTACACTAAGTATCAACAAAAGATTTATTTCTTTTTTATTTCTGAAATGAACACAAAATCTGGGAGAGAAGATTTTAATTTATCCTTCAATTGGAGAATTGTAGATGATCCTCCCAAACCTCTACAATTCCACATGAGGACTCTCATTTATCACTTTGGGACCAGTTATGGTTGGTTTCCTCCACCATTTTCTTAGAGACATGAGATTCTATTTTTTTTATTTTTTTAAAATCGTACTCAAGGGGAAAGATAGAGGGTGATTCCACCTATGTTACCTTGGTTATCATTAGAAACAACGAGAATATGAACTTGAGACATAGCATTATGGACCTTATCAGTTGAAACTCTACCCCTAGTTAATCTAGCGAATGATTTTTCGAATTTAGAAAGGGAGGGTGTTGTTGAACTCTGAGCAACAGGCACATTCACTAGATTATTCAGATCTAGGTCCTGACCTCTAATTATATCTAAATCCATAGACTCATGCAGGCTTCCTTATCTGTATGGGAATCAGTAAACCCTTAGTGCTCACCTCAGTTCTATTCTCCCCAATACTGACCCCCTCTAACTTACTATTAGTAGGATCACCCTCAACTAAATTGTGTTATCCTTATCACTACCCAGATTCCCTTGATCCACATGATTAATAGGAACCTCATCAGTGGTACCTATAAGCTTATCCTTACTGGAATCTGAGGTAGGATTACAACAGTTTCACTAGAGGATTTTTTATCCCTAGCAAAACTATGGGAAAAAATAACTCCTCAACCAATCCCCAAATTGACTAGTTCTCAATTTGTTCCTCGGAATATCATCTTTCTTGAAATCACATGCTTTATCACTATGCCATATACGCCCGCAGTAGAAACAAAAGGTCAGCATATTCTCATACCTGAATTCAACCCATTGCTCATCTGAACCCAATTTTATGAAGGTACCTCTTGGAATAGGCTCAAGCATATTAACTTGCACCAAAATTCTAACAACTCTGCCATTCATGAGACTATTGCTAGGATTAGGAATAACCACGTCTTTAACTGATTCAAGACCTGTCCCACTTTTAAACCAGTCTCTGCAGAAATCCAGTACCCCTTCTGAATCTAAAACCAAAGGTCCACCACCAGTTCTTCATTCTTGAACATTGTTTCACCTTTTTTTCATTCCTTAAGCGGAAGGTACTATCCATCAAAGGACCATACTCAACCTTTCAAGATTCTAGACTTGTCTTCCTCTGCTTGGAAAAGAAAATGAAAATGGTTGTCCCCCAACACCCTTACTGAGAAAGGAAGACTTGTTTTTTTATACAATTCCCATTGTTGATTTTAGCCCTCCCAGGTTAACTTCTTATCTTCTACGATATTCTTTATCAAACTAAGCGAACATTTCTACAATCTTGGCTCGATATCATGATCCGAAGACTATTCCTTTCTTTTCCTTATCTAAGAGTTTGAATTTGCTGAGCTTATCTGTAATATACTGCGCCATCGGACTCTTCACATCAAACCCACCAGAAACTTCGAACAAAGAGGGATCAACCTATAACAAGAGGGATGGGTGAGAAAGAAAAATGAAAACAAAGGAACAATGAAAGACAGGGACAAACAAAATACAGAAAGGGAAGAGATCATCCACAGCTATGGAACTGGTAAAACTCTAGAAAGAGAAAGAGCACCCCCACAGAATTGGTAGCTTGTCACACCGGATTGCTTCCAATTTGTAAATTGAGAAAATGAAATGATTCTATCGTTGTGATTTGAAGTAGAGAAATGGATGAAAGAAAAATTTTGCCCTTGTAGTGTAAAACAACATGAGTAGCTGAATATATTAAAGGTTGAT